GAAAATTTTTTTCAAACCAGTGACTTTCTAAAGGTAAGCCTTTCACATTACAAGGTGGTCTATGCAGTGCTATAAAATTAAATCTCTAAAAGATCGAACTCATTTTGCTAATCACTTGCTCCAAACATGTGAGACCTTCTCCATTGCTCACAGGGCAGGTTCTTCTTAACGTGACTAAGAATGTAAGGTCCTCCATAATTCACACCTAACATCCCGGCACAGGTTCTGTTTCCAAAGAGGAGTTTGTTAGAAAGATGTCATCAGAGAATAACATTTAAAATGCCCAAACCCACTGCCAACATGTCTATCCTCATTCATAGAAACACTATAGGACAAAGGAGAGATACCACATAATGCTGCAAAGGTTAGAACTCTTTATGGAAGCAGAGGGGCACCCTTTTTCTTTCACAAGAAGCATGTGGCCTGAACTGTTGACCTTTTGGTTAGCAGCCCAGCACTGTATCACCAGGATTCCTCCAAATAGAGAATTTGAGACCATAAATTAATTATAAAGCTGCCTTTGTCAGTATTGGTTAAGCCATAAACCTTTGCATCAATTCCAACTCAGAATGAGCTTACAGAAGCTTTCTGAGACTGTAAATTGAGACTGAATATTTTTAAGGGATCAGGCAGTCTTTCTCTTGTGGAGTGGCTGATGGGTTTGAACCACAGACCTTGAAGTTAGCAGCCGAACATCTAATCCACAGCCTGATCATGATTTCTTGTCAGAATAGGTTAGGGTAGTTAGGATATGCTATTTTATCAAAAGGGCCAAATCCCAGTTACTTGTTATAAAGGATTATATCTCAGTAATGCAATTTCCCCACAGCAGGTTGACTGTGGTTTTATTTATCTTGGAGCTAGTCGACTGTTTAGGAGGCTTTATCTGAAACACTCATGATTATCGTGCCGGGAGGAAAGAGAGCATGGCCAAACACTAGATCCAATCATTTACTTCTGACTGAAAGTGATACTTATAACATTCATTCAGAATGTATTAGTCCAAAAAAGTCCCATGGCCAAGCCTGAAATCATTGAGGCGGGAAAGTATAATCCTACTCTGAGAAGCACAGCAGGTATTTGTGGGCAGGCGCCCAAGCTGTCAAGAACAGCCAAAGTTTCCGAGCTGATCGCTCAGTAAAAGAGAGAAGTAGAGAAAATAATCCTAAGTGAATTTTTATACTATAAAAGATTTGATAAGCAATGTGGTTCACTGCGATGCACCAATTAAAGGTATTCTTGAGAATTAAAACCACAAATCCTTCTACCAAAAATAGAACCTTCCCTTCAATTGGTAACATAATCTGATTTTTATTTAGGAAATGGTCCCTCCTACACTCTATGTGTTGCTAGGATATTAAGCCAACCATCTAGTTACCACTCCCACCTCCCAAACTTTAACCAAAGATGAGCTTCAAATGTGACCACTTTCAACTCATGGGACTGAAAATCATGAACAGGAGAAGTAAAGATGAAGGGCCCTCGGGTTTTAGTCACTATCTTAATGCCCACTGCATAGCCACATCACTGAACTTTTTTCTCTGAACCTGAGCTAACTTGTTTTCATCCAATAAATTCATCAGAAATGTTTATTTAGTTCGTCAGATTTGGTTTCTACTATTCAAAACCAAAACTCGTTACTGAGGCTCTCCATGCGGCAACTTCTTGGTTGTTTTCAATCTTTGTTTAACATTACAGAAAAATCATAGTTTGATCACCATCCTCAATCCCACAACACCAAAGCCAGCATTGTAAGCTTTGTCTGAATCCTTCCGGGTTATTTCATATGCTTATATCCCTATAAACTAATACCATTTGGTGAGTTGTTCATTGTGTTACATATTTTACAATATTCTGTTTCATGGCTGTTTATTGTTGTTTTCCCTGGGAATGAATGCTTATGATAGTGTCAAGGG